ATGGCAGACATTTTTTATATGGCTGTGATGGTGTTAAAACTTGAGAATTTTACGGAAAAAGCCAGCTCTAGTGCAGACTCTTAGTTTAGAACTCCAATATTCATTCTTCTCTTCTTACTTAACTGGGCACATGCCCACTGAGAATAAAAGTTATACTTCTCAGCTACCTTTGCAGCTAAGAATATCTACGTGATTAAGTTCTGGCCAATGAAATGAAATGAATGAGACATGGAAGCATCCAGGAAGTTTCCTTATAAAAGAATGATCCAGTTTGTTCTTTCTCTTCTTTGCTTCCTGTTTCCTGGAATGAGGAGGTAATGGCTGGAGCCACAGCATTCCATTGGGTCATGAGGTGACCTTGGGAATGGGAGACATGCCACGCTGAGCCTAGGTCCCTGATTCCTTTGAGCCCCCATGAGTCTAGCACTGCATACCGCAGACCTCTTTTTGTGAGAGAAAAATGTAATTGTACCTCATTTAAGCTGCCTCATTATTCACAGCCAAACCTAATTCTAATTGATATAAAACTTTCCATTTTCTTTTGAAAACTCGAAAGATCTTTCACTCCTGGGTCCTGTTGCCACTCAGATGTAGTCAGTGGGAGCTGACAAAGCTGCATTAGCTTAAGCTGGGGAACTTTAGATCGCAAGGGCCCCCACTACTTACTGTGGTTTACACATGGCAGCCTCCCCATTTGTGTTAACTTCCTTGAGCCCTGAGACATTTGTGTTGCAAGCCTTGCCCCAGACTGTGTCCCCAATATATTATATTGTTTTCATGTTCTTTTTAGGGGTCGCTGAAATATAAAAAGTCCTTTCACCCTGTCCCAACAGTCTAGGAAGTCAATCACGGGGGGATTTTCTGAGTTGGCAAATTTCAGATATGACTTAATATATAAAGTTATGTATTCTTACCATCTTTAATTTACTCCATACGTATTTCTCAAAAAGCTTTGCTGTATCCAAAGTTGGGATATGGTGAGGAATTAAACAGACTTGGCCCCTGCCCTCATGGAGCTGGCGTCCTAGTGAAGGGAACAGACACGACATACAGAAATTATCACAATACTGTGAGATGGCGATGAATGCTGAAAAGAATGTTAACAGGAGCCGGGTGGCAGGAAGAGAAGCAGAGGACCATTCAGGGAGCTGTGCGGTATCCTGGGGACAGATGTTAGAGGCAAGGCGTAGGGTGATGACTGTGAAGATGGACAGAAGCAGATGGCCGCCGAGTATGTTTTGGAAATGGAAACATTAGGATTTGCTGATAGATTGTGTGTAGGAAGTGAAGGGAAGGGAGAAATCTGTGATTCCTAAGTTTTTGGCTTGACCGAGAGGGTTCTTGGTAAGACAGAAACGATGGTATGAGAGGTATTTTGTCGTTGTTGTTGTTTTTGCACGGGGTTAGTTCACCCAGCTGGGCTACATTCTCCAGTTTCCTTCGCAGTGAGCTCCTAAACTATTTCATTAATATTTAATTCTCTAAATTACTGCATATTGTTCCCAGAAATCATCCCTCATGGAAGAGTATAAGGCCATTATCGGGAGGAATGTGTACTTAATTCTCCTGGGAATATGGAACAATTAGAAGATTCTGCCCTGTAGATCAGACAGTAGATCGCCCGGATTTTTTTAACTCAGCAAACAGCTAGGCCTGGGCACTTATTGCCAGAGTGAGCTGTGCAGTTTTAGTTCCTTAGCTAGGGCTTCTCTAGGTAGAACTCCATTTGAAAAGGGAAGGTGTAAATAGTATTATTGCCCTTTCTGAGCCAAACAGCCCTTTTCATAACATTGCCATGTGCCAGGGAGATAGCCGAAAAATGTTGCTTGCCTTTTTAATTGTATTTCATTATCCGGAGAGTATCCTCTTCTGTTCTAATAAATAAATCAGCCGTGGGATGGCTTATGAAACAAGAGGTGGCAGCCTGACAGTCAGGAAAAACAAAAAACACAGGCTTCAAGGGCAAGAGACAAATCCTAACCCGGCATCTAACAGCTGTGTGCCCTGGGGCAAATAGAGGAGTCTTTCAGAGGCTCATGTCCTGTCAGTGGAAATCGTAGCATCTTTCTGAGGGCGTGTCGTGAGGAATAAGTGCGATGACGAATGTAGATAACGTGGTGTCTGTCACATAATAATAATTATGGCCCTGTGCCAGGTACAGTACCGGGTGCTTCACGCACACTATTTGTCGTCAATAAAACAGTCCCACCAGGTAAGTTTCGTCCCGGCCACTTTACAGATGAGGAAATGGAGACTGAAAGATCACACGGCTACTCAGCGGCAGAGCTGGGATTTGAACCTACGTCTGTCTGCCTGTTTACAAAAACCCACGCTCCGCCCATTGCGCCAGGAGTAAGTGCTCGATAAATGTCAATTTCCTTCCCGTCACAGTGGATGGCGAGTGATTTCACAGCCCTTTTTATAGCGTCGGTGTATCAGCACTTTCAAGCTGTCAGTGCTAACGTCAGGATCAATGATAGCACCCTAGATACAAATCTGCAAAATTTCACCTTTGTTTCTTTTAACTTTTTTTCTTAAGAGCAACGAAGGCAGTAGCTGTCTTTTAAGTGGTGTCACAATATTAAAATTCTTTTGAAGATAATAAATTTTTGAGTCTTTCTAAAATGTTTTACAAACCTAAGTGTTACAGATCTTAGTAATAGTAATCCAAGTGATTAAACAGTGATCTTCATAGTAATCACTCCTTGCTCTTTGTTCCAGAATAGGAAAATGAAGGGCTGGGCTAGCTGGGTATCCGAGGAGAAAGGATATGCCAGTGCAGGTGGCAGCACCGGGCCTTGGACACAGTGGCCCCTCAACCGCTGCTTGTAGAAAGGAACGAAATGAAATAGAATTATTTTCTGGTTTAAAAAAACCCTAGCAGGTGGAAAGATTTATAATTGCTTAGCATGACAGTTTGCAATATGGCTGCACATTGGAATCGCCTGGGGAGCTTTAAAAGCTATTCCTGCCTGGGTTCCAGCCCCAGAGATTCTCATTTAATTGGTCTAGGGTGCAACCCGGACATCAAGATGGTCCAAAACTCCCCAGAGGATTCTAATGTGCAGCCAGGGTTGAGAGCAGGTTTGTGGCTTAGCAGTTCACAAACAGAACCAGAGTCTCCCAAACTCCACGAGGGGTCTTAAATCAGACTCCCCGAGGTAGAATCTCAGCTTCACCACTTACTGGCTTTGTGACCTTGGGCAGAGGTCATTTAACCTCTTCATGTTCCACTTTCCCCACTTATAAAATGGGGTTAAGGATATCCCATAATAGCAGGAGGATTTAGAA